TCAAAAGTTTAGAATTACATAAACTACCCAGACGTTTTAAAACTTAAAACAACAAACATGAAATCTGAACAATTAAGAACAACCTCCAAAAAAATTAAAATTTACAATTAATACCTCAACATTTCAAGCATTACAAAAACAACATCAAAAGTTCAAATTATAATAAAAAACACCCTGGAATTCTAAAATTTCAAAACTTGCAAACGGCATAGATGAATTCAATGGATTACCATCAGGTACTTAAAATTTTAATAATTATGAAAAATAACCTCAAAGTTAGAAAGATCACAAAAACTCCCTCTAAAGTTAAAAAAAGCAAAAAAAAAATATCTAAAATTTCAAAACATATAACCTAAAATTTCAAAACTTATAACCTGAGATTTGTTCGGCTAGCAAGCTGCTTAATGCGATATACAGGCTTTGGTGCTCAAGTACATCACTAATTAACTACAAAAGATACGAAGGAACTTGGACTCCCAAGTTCCAACTAGCATAATGTTTGTAATTTTCAGTACAAGATACACAGATCAATAGATTCCTTGAATGCATCGCTGAAAACCTGTAGGCTGCTTGAGAAAATAGTTCCTTTTTTTTTTTGCCCCCTTTCATTAAGATCGAGTTCATCCATACTTAGGCTACCCAGAAAACATGTTAACTAGAAGTCTCGGTAATCGGAACTAATACCAAGTAAACAGTTTACGAATCAGAACTCTGATGCATCAAATGTAGGTGATTTTGACCAAAAATAATAAAAAGAAAAAGAAAAAGGAAAAGAAAGAAACTGAATGTGGTAAGCATCAAGTTGGACAGAAGTTAAAAGTGATTTTCATGTAAACACCTTGTCTTAAATCAGAGCTATGGATTATGTAAAATTTATTATATGTCACCGTGATTAGAAAGCACTACCAATAATAAACATGACCACTATTTGGTTTGATAAACCCCTTGAAGAAATTTTCTAAACAAACCCATTCATAGTTTTTTTTTCTTCTAAAAATATACTCCCTTGAGTTTTTTTTACAAAAATCGATATAAAACCCCAAAATTTTGCTATAGTAAATATATGTGAATTATTAATAGTGAATAATTCTCTTATGATAAATAATCATATATATATACATATATATATATATCAGATGAATGTAATTATCTGTGTTTGAGAACCCATCAAGTGTTTCTATGTGAGAGAAATCGAGTGATATGACCAGCATGTTAAATGCCTAGCAGCAGGCATTTTTCTGCTGCGCGGTCGACCGACGCGGTCGACCGCGTCGGTCGACCGCACAGCGGTCAGAGTGTTTTCTCAGGTTCGGGTTCAAACGGGTTTCGGGTCGGGTTTGGTAATTGGTATATAGGCTAATGATCCGAGACAACCCTCTTTACATCTGAAATCAGTAACCCTAGCCCCCCCTCTCTTCTCTAAAACCCTAATCCTCCTTGTTTGGTGATTGGGGAGAAGTTCTTGAGGAGTTGCAGCAGTTTTTGGTGGGATTCAGCGAAGGGAAACGTTCTCCTTCAGATTCAGAGACCCATTACTCACCTGAGGCGAGTATCATCTCACCCAATCCCTCACCCCTGTTTTCTATGATTTTCGTTTGAAATTTTTTTGAGTTTTGATGAGTCAAAATGGTATTTTTGTATAAAAATGAACTCTCTATAATATGGTTAGCAAGAATCAAAGGTTTCAGTTTATAAAAGTTCACCAATGTTCTGTTAAATAAAGATTTAGATCTGAGATTTGCTTAACCAAGGGTTAAATCACGTTTACTGTTACCAAAACGTTTTAATCTTGTTTCTCTTGTATTTAGAATGTTGGGGATATAGTTTACATGCTTAAAATTTATTGTTTTTCTACAGTATGATTTATAGAGATATTAGATCTGTATTATCGTAGAAATATACAAATTTTATTTCAGGTTTTGAGCTGACAGAAACCCAGATTTGGGTTTCTGTCCGCTTGGCGGTCGACCAAATTTTATTTCAGGTTTTGAGCTGACAGAAACCCAGATTTGGGTTTCTGTCCGCTTGGCGGTCGACCGATGCGGTCGACCGCTGAGCTCGCTGTAGGGGCAGAAATAGCCTGCGGTCGACCGCACCGGTCAACCGCGACGTTCTGCCGGTCGACCGAGATGCCTAGCGGTCGACCGCCAGGCTCGTATCAGTGTGCGGTCGACCGAGTCGGGCGACCACCGCACTGTCTGTTGCAAAACCCTGTATTGTGTATTTTTGAGCATTTTACTCATGTTCGAGTGTTTGCCTGGATTATCTGACTTTGGTTTTTAGTCTTACTATGTACCCAGGCATGATAGATGACCTGAGGGTACCAATTGTGGATATATACACTGATTTGATTGTGAATTGATATAGGTAGATTTCACTATATATATCTCAGCGATATTTTCACCATTTCGCAGTCCTCGTGTTGGACTATAATCCATAGAAGTCATCGTGTTGGACTATAATTTATTTCAGTCCTCGTGTTGGACATTTGCCACTTATTCCATGAGTTTGGAAACTACAATATATAAAATTCCTGTTTCGGACATAGTTCTTTACCCTACATATGACTTTCTCACAGAAGATCACGACATGACACTTATGTAAATTTTGACATGATATTCATGTAGGCTATGATATGGCACTGCGCTTATGTTCTGAGATTAGTTGTATTTCTTTTATTACTGTTCCTGTATTAGAACCTCGGGTTTGGTGATTAGGGGTTTACAATTTAAGATATAAGGTATATACATGAGGGTTTCCTTGTTTGGATTATTTCGCTCGACGTACCTATTCTCGTGTTGTAAATTCCTAATTACCAAAACCCTCTTTAGTAAGATCAATGAGTTTAGATCTATTATATATTATCTGTATTTTCTTATACAATGAGCCATGTTCCCTTGGGGTTGGTTGTGATGTTACTCGCTAGCGCTTTGACGCTCGTTGTCCCTCCCCCTTTCAGGTAACGAGACGGGAGCCCGGAGAGTCGCAGGTTGATGGCGATGCATTTTAGCTTCAGCTGTCTATTTAGTTATGTACTTTCTTTTGGAGTTCCACAGTAGATTTTTGTTTAGACATTTGAGAGTCTTATTCTAGAAGTTGTAAAGGCTATGTGCCTTATTTCCTTTTCGTCAGATATTTGTATTTGAGACTTGTTGAGTATTCCAGTTTATCTACTCAGACCTTGATTATGTTTTTCTGTATGTTGGATGATGAGATATTTATGTGATCATTATCATTTCATCAGTATTTCTTGTATTATCTTTTACTTGCTTTTGTACCTACACCTGTTGTTGACTCTACTAGATAGATGTTAATTGTGATGGTGAAACATGTTATTGCACGGTGTGGTGCATGACAGATTTGACATTCTTGGTTTTACCTTGGACTGCAGCCTTGTGTGAACCCAAGGGCGTCACAATCGACCCATTTTATCTTAATCCGGTTTCTAAATTGTCGGGGTTATCAACCCCGACTATTTAGTGCATAGAATGTTAGGATTTAGGGTTATAATTGGGGGTTTACAACCTCCTAAATAGTCGGGGTTGGTAACCCTGACTATTTAGGAACCGGATTAAGATAAAATTGGTCTATTTTTGTAAATAAAACTTAATGGGGTCTATTTTTAGAAAAAAAAAACTTTGAATGGGTTTATTTAGAAAATTTCTTCTAAACCCGGCAGGTTCATTGTTATATAACAGAACCAATCAATGATAATTTCTTCTTTACACAAAAGATGGAGCCCACACATACAAGTATTGTTACACGTGCTGACCCTGTTGTTACATATGAATACTTCCCCAACTCTAAAAATGTGGTGCTATAGAAAATTATCCCTGTTTAACATCAAACATGATACACCAAGTTGATAGGGTGTTGCTAAAGGGACCCCAAATAGGAGACTCCTAAGGGGACAGGTGAGGTGTCAGCCCCTGGGGGCTTGATGCACTGTTCATGAACAGTGCATCAAGCTCCTAGGGACTGACACCTCATCTGTCCCCTCGGGTCCCCTATTTTGGGGTCCCTGATGAGTTTTCCAAGTTGATAACTAGTAAAAAGTCAATGAAAAAGTTTTACAGCTGTCTAGCTACAGTAAGTAAAAACCAGCAGAGCTCGAACATTAAACTTATTCTTCATCGGTTAGAGCGGATGGAAACAAAAAAGACTTTGTACTAGTTTTCTCCGATTTCTCATCCTTTAGGTTAATAGATTCTAAAAATCAATTACTTTATTCTTAGTTATGGATGTTGGACTTCACATCTCATAAGTCATATCCACTCTGTCAATTGAGATTAATAATAAGTTCTCAATCAAGCAGCTCATGCTTACTGCACAATGAAAAAAATACATTTTTTTACCTGTCACATTGTTCTTGTCTTCTTGATTATTATCCCTGGTTGATCTTCTATCTGAACAAATAATGACTCTGCAATTGCTATTTTCAGGTAAATCTATGAAAGGGGCTCGGGCACAGAGGAATTTAAAGGCATAACTAAAGGGGAAGAGTATAAATTTAAGGGTTAATTGTCGATAGATGTCTATAGCATCTTCTAAATGTTGTGAGTTGTAGACAGAACCCGTAACTGAAAATTAGACCTTTTACCTTCAGAGGCCTGTATTTAAAATAAAAAATAAAAAAAAACAATTAAAAAAGATTTTTTCTCTAAGGTCGTTAGCAGCAGGTAGAAAAAAAATCATTCAGGAGGTCTATATGCAAGAAGTCTATCCACAATTGAGCGATAAATACAAAGGGCCTATCCACAATTAACCTTAAAACTAACCAAACATACCAACACCTCACTTGGAAGCTTCAAGGCACATATTAGAGCAAACCACCACTAAGAATGACCCTAATAAGGTCCATTTTATCATTGAATCTTCACAGACATCAAAATTTCATTTTGCGAATCAAAAACAGATTCTCAAGTTCATATCCCCCAGTGGGCACACAACGCCAGTCAAATCA